GATTTTTTTGAAAATCTAACGTCAAATTCGTTTTTCTCGTGTCAAAATACCCCTACATACCGATTTTCGCGCAAATCCATCGACGAATAACCGGTGTGAATTTTCGGCCATTTTGAACTTTAACCGGCCGCCATTTTGAAACGGTTTGAGATATTGACTTCGGGTTTGCGCGAAAAGTTTTCTTTTTTTATGCTCTTTTGAACGAGCTATCACAAAGAGGGTCTTCCCATTTGAAAATTAAAAGTTGGGGGCCGTTGCCCCCCCAAGGGGGGCCCCCCTGAAAATTTTAGGGGGGCCAAAAAGTAGCTCCCGTTGACCTAGGAATATCCCCCAAGTTTTAAATCTTTATCTTAATTAGGTAAAAAGTTAGAGGGGGTGGAAGGGACTTTTGGATCACCCTGTATATCAAATGACGTAATAAAAAAATCAGTCATTTTGGCCATTCTAAGAAAGACTATTTTTAAGAAAATTCTCCCCATAAATATCATACAGGGGAGGGCCGGGAGGCATTCGGTTTATTTTATGGTGTCAGATATCACGCTCATAATCAGTTAGAACTCATGGCGCTTGTGATCTTTCGAAATTTTGATCTGTAGGTTATGCAATGCAAACCTCAAAAGATCTAGATTTTGAACAAATTCCGGCATTGATGGAAACAATTCTCCTCAAGGTCCCTCCACGGGTGCAGAATGTTCACTAACTAACGACCAATCTGTCGTTCGCGAACTGCGTAGGCAGTGTGAAAATTGCGTAGGCTACAACCTTGGATAGTGGATTATATAAAATGTATTACTTTTTGATTAAAATGCGCTCCATTTTTGTGTGCACCCTCCAAACTTGTGTAGGCGCGCTGCCCTACGGATTTCCAAGTAGCGTGCGCATTTTGGAACTTACAATGGGCCAGTTGCGCTGGTGACAGAATCGACTTTTAATGCTTGATTCTTGTAGATCAGCTAAAATTAAGATGATCTGCCCAAACAGCATCTTTCTACTTTGAATACTAACCGAGATAACTTCCTTTGAAAAGTCGGATTTTTGACGTCATCCACCGCGGTAGTGCGTAACCATAGAGAGCTTAGAGTCGTAACGTAAGTAGGAAAGGTGCCGCCATGTTCTGCTCGACGAGTTCCGAGTCCGGTGTGCGGGGTCACTTTTTCGATACAAATTCGATCCAATATGGCGGTGTAGAATATGGCCAGGTCCCCGTGTATCGCAAACAATCGATTATGTATCGAAAAAGGGACCCAGCGCCGCACAGGAATCTCGGAATTCGGGACCCGGAAAATGCTTAAAAGTGGCGCCAGCTCTCCCACTTGCATTACGACTCTATGCACTCTATGTGCATAACATGGTATGTACTAACGCAGTGGATGACGTCATAATTCGAGTTTGCCAATGGGCGATATTTATTTAATATGCAACGTAGAGAGTTGCTGTTCGGACGGATCTTATTATTTTAAGTTGATCTGCAAGGATAAACCAATGATTTTGTGACCAGCGTAACTGCCCATTCTGCCGTGCTAAGGAAGAACGCCGTATGAACCTTCAGACGTTGCCAAAATGTGTTTGAAAAACACGAATTCCCCGGTAAATAACTTGTGAATATTTTTCTTCCAATTTTTCAGAGAATTTTGTTCGTAGTTTGATCTAAAATTCCTAAAAATTTCAAGAAAATCGTACAACTTTCCTCAAAAATGAACATTTTATAAAAGGAAATTTGGCAACTCTCGAATGTTCATGAAAAACACGAATTCCCTGCACTGGAAAAAAAACACATTGGATCTAGAGTCCAGACTCTTAAAAACATCGACAAGAAAATATACTCTTGATTCAATCAGATTTAAGCTTAAATCATGGACCGAGCCTCTTAATTTGAGCGGATTCCCTTTTGATTTAAGCAATAATCTGATCGAATCAAGAGTATTTTTTCTTGTCAATGTTTTCAAGAGTCTGGACTCCAAATCCAATGTGTTTTTTTTTTTTTCCAGTGCGGTAAATAACTTATGAATATTTTGTTCGCAATTTCACCTAAAGATTCTGAAAATTTGAAGTAAAAATATTCATAACTCTCCTCAAAAATAGACATTTTGTCGAAGGAAAGGCAACTCTCGCATGTTCATACGGCGTATTTCTTTAGCACGGCAGCATTAGCGCGAATCGCGAGTCAAGCAAGAGTCGAGACCTTCACTAGAGATCGGGTAGAGATCAAGCGATGTTTGAAGTATCTTATCAGTTTTGCAGGCACTTCCGGTGATCGTTTTTGGCGCAAAGTCCAAAGTTCCCTAGAATTTTTTTCAAGTAGATGAGGTCCCTTTTCACAGATCCGGTCACCATCATGAAGCAACAGATCTTCCTATAGCATATTAACAACAACGAAAAAAAGTTGGGTCTCTTTTCCGCTGACTTAGACTTTTAACTTAGAGTAGAAAAATCGGATTGGGCTATACGCG